ATGTATATACACAGGCGCGCGCGTGTGTGAAAGATACGCACACACACACAGACATATGTATATGTATATGTATATGTATATATATATATATATATATATATATATATATATATATATATATATATATATATATAAGAGAGAGAGAGAGAGAGAGAGAGAGAGAGAGAGAGAGAGAGAGAGAGAGAGAGAGAGAGAGAGAGAGAGAGAGAGAGAGAGAGAGAGAGAGAGAGAGAGAGAAGAAGAGAAAGAGAAGAGAGAGAAAGAGAGAGTATATATATATATACATAGATACATTTTTTACTAACATCTATGTAAATCTTCAGACATCCTCAAATGCGCGCGCGCACACACACACACACACACACACTTATACACATACACACACATACAACACACACACACACACACACACACACACAATATATATAATATATATATATATATATATATATATATATATATATATATATATATGCGCGCGCGCGCGCGGCGCGTGTGTGTGTGTGTGTATACATACATACATACATACAAATATATATATCTACATGAAATATTCTACGACTTCAGGATGGAACGTCACTCGACCCACACGCCCAGCATCGTGTTCCTGCTCGTCGATACGTTTCGCCAGACGCGCGAACCGCAAACCCAATCGATGATGCTGGTAAAAAAGGTGCTATATTTATCTGCAACCTGACAGGGTTTAATTGTTATGCCTATACTATATACCTATATACTGGTACACATCTTCCGCTCTCACATGCAAGGATTAGGTTTAACGTGTGTTATTTTTTAACGGATACTGCCTTTAAAAAATAAATTCGCGGGCATTTTAGCCAATAGGCAGTCACTCCCCCAATCTCAGCAATGCCCACGCTATTGATTGGCTTAAATCCTCCGTTTGGCGTCAGGATCATCGACTCGTCTCGCTCAAGATAATCCCAGTTATGTAGGATTGGAACATCCATATCAGAAGAAGGTAGATAAGGAGATAAGGAGGATTAGAGCGATGTAATGTTTATGACGCTAGGTAACCATGATTTTGATAATGATAACGTTGGTATGGCGATGTACATGAAGATACGAGAAAAAAAGGATGAAAAGGTGTACAGGAAGATACAAGTAATAAAAATGGAATAAAGGGAGGACGAGAGTGTAGAAAACAAGGAGAAAAAATAATAAAAACAAAAAATGCGAAAGGAGAAAAGGCGAATAGGTCACACGCAGGAGGGACACACCGCTGTTGAATTTTTGCTGCAGTGTTGCGGCTGGCTGGGGGTGGGAAGTGGGGGGCAAGGAGGAGGGGAAGGGGGTAGAGAGAGGAGAGGAAATACCAGGGGTTGTAGAAATCACCAGATAGGAGGGGGAAGACAATCCGACGCGCGTGTGTGTTAGGGAAGAGGGAAGTGGGGAGGGGGAGAACGCTTGTGGTGATGTGGAGGGGGGAGGGAAGTGCAGAGGGGGAGAACGCTCGTGATGATGGAGGAAGGGGAAGGGGGAAGGGCAACGAATGGCGTGTTGGCAGCCGCGGGAAAGGGGTGAGATTGGGAGGAAAGGGGGTGGCAGTTACTTGATCAAGCTGTCTCTTCTCTCGTGAAAGTTCCTTCGTATTTTGAGGCTCTTTCACCGTAAACGCGTCAAATGGAGCGTGATAAATAAATATAACAATATCAAGGAATGATGGAAAAGAAATGGCGGCGCACAGACAGTGATAGAGAAGAGGAGAGTCTGAAAAATGACGACAAGAGAGTCTGAAAAATGACGACAAGAAGAGAGTCTGAAAAATGACGACTGCCAACGACGAGCGATGCCAGGTGTCACTGTGATGACTATAAACAACAGAACAAGACACCCCACAACTACAGGTGCACACCACCCAACCATATGGGAAAAAAAACATCGAAATAAGAAAAGGCACAAATAAAAAACATCAAAATAAAAGCAAAACAACTTGAATAACAATTTATCATAATACTTTAAACATCCCTTCGTGAAAAAAGAAAGGACTGGAAAACAACCCCCCCCCCTCTAACCTCGACTCCCAAGAGAGTCAAAGGTCACCGTGACATAAACCCGGGGAGCCAAATCCGCGCGAGAGGTCGGTGCGCGGTCTCGGTAATCATCGCATTCGCCATGACAAATTAATCGCCACCTGAATTATTCATGCTGTAAATTTTGGAGGGGCTGGGAGGGAGGGAAGGAGGAGGGATGGAAAGGGAGAGGGAGAGGGAGGAGGGAGGAGAAGGAGGGAGTGAGAGGAAGAGAGAGAGAGGGAATGGATGGATAGATGGATGGGTGGGTGGGTGGGTGGGTGAGGAGGGAGAGAGGGAGAGGGAGAGGAGAGAGAGAGAGAGAGAGAGAGAGAGAGAGAGAGAGAGAGAGAGGAGAGAGAGAGAGAGAGAGAGAGAGAGAGAGAGAGAGAGAGAGAGAGAGAAGAGAGAGAAACTTCTCAGAGATTCCTTAAGAGAGCTTCTTTATATGGCAGAGACGAAATGGCTCCGAATAGGCGATCACGTTAATCTCCGAATGTATATTCATAAATTTTTCCTAATCTTAATTCATAATATGGTAGTCATTAACATTAATATTCCATCACCTGTACATTTTAAGATCGACGTACAACACTCTATCTCAAAAACCTAAAGGCGGCATCATACCACACGAAAAAACAAAACAAAAAACAAATGAGCATCGATTCAGCGACTGAAAGGGGATCGAATGCCCTTCCACAGTGACAACAGGATGCAGTACTCCATTCACAAACCCACTGTTTGATTCGAGACCGGATGGGGCTATCTGGCATTGATAATTTACTTCTCATTACAAAACTAATTACATTGTTATTTTCCTACGGTTTACTGAGAGAGAGGGGGTGATAGATTTATGGATGGAGAGACAGGAAAGAGAGGTAGTATTGTAGATAATATCTATCTGTGTATCTATCAATGTCTCTCTCTCTCTCTCTCTTCCTTTCTCATTCTCTTCCTTCCTCTCTTCCCTTTTCTCTCTCTCTTCCTTCCTCCTCCTCTCCCTCTCTTGCAAGCGGAGGAAGTACATTCGCTGTCCGTTGGGCGCCATTATTCAGTTATTCAGTGGAAGTCCCTGCCAATTTTCTTGTCTTCCGGTTTGATAAGACATGTTTTGTTTCTCCTCTCTCCCGTCTCTGCCTTTCATTTTCCTCCCCTCCTTTCCTTTCCTTTCTTTTTTTTTGGTTTCTTATCTTTTCTTTTCTTCCTTCTTATTCCGCTTCGTTAGTAAGATTTTCCCTATTTTTTTTCTTGCTCATTCCATCTCATTCTCTTTTAATATCTTCTTATTCCGTTTCGCTAGTAAGATTTTTCCCTATTTTTTTCTCATTCCATCTCATTCTCTTTAGCCTCACTTCACTTATTTCTTCTTCCCTTCGCACTTCTTTATTCAATCGCCGTATTTCTTCCTCCCTTCTTATCCCACCTTATTCTTTTCTTCTTCTTCTTCCCCTTCACTTCCCGCGACTCCTTATTCTCATTCCGCCCTCCTCTTCTCCTCTCCATTCGTCCCCGCCCATCTGCCGCTCCCGAAGGCCCATAAACCCGGGCCGAGAGCGGCGAGGACCCGGCGAGGGCCCGAGGGTGCACTGGGACTCGCGCGCCCACATCCGCCCCTGACTCACCACCG